GACTACGAATAAAATTATTCGATTGAAATCTAACGACAGTTTTTACTTTCATTTGCATTGTTGAGAGAAGTATGTGTTGTACTATAGCGAGCATTTGGTCTCACACTTTGGTTGATGTTAGGGAATAGAAACTGGGTCAGCTGACATATCCACATGCTTCTGGTTCCTGACCTGAAGTTAGAATGAAAAATTCTAGGCGTTCATTCATTGGTGAGATTTTCCGACTAATGGCCATCAGTTCGTTCCTCAAGCGGAGTATTTTGGCTACAAACGTTTCATAACCAGTTCAAGTGACATCAGCAGTGCATCGTGAATGGAAGTGAGTGGTTGTCACGTAGGCGTGGATTGATTTGGAGTCTACCCACCCAGATCGACCTTGACCGATCAATACAGATCTTCTGACTGTAGGACTCACACGCAAGAATCGGGGTCCAAACGACATCGATAAAGACGGTGTGCTCTAACAGATGCAAATATAACGGTATTGCACTTGAGCACAGCAAGTGTATGCTTTGTCCACATTCCGGTTATCCATGCAGACTATCCATGTGAAGTTGAAATATACGGAGCTATGTGTGCCACACTTCAATAAGCAGAGCTACAAGTTCTGTGAAATTTGCCCATAATGCTTCAACTAACACAACTGTCCTATTTATTCATTCGGGGGCCGTGAGCTTCAAGATGAGAATTTGTCAAACCTTTGCGTTCAGACATTTCACTTGTAAGTATAGGCATTATTGTGGACTAATATTCATCAGCACTCTGTAATTCAAGCGCAAGTGACACACTGAGCGACCCCAGTCAGATGACCCCTCACCTCAGTAGACACACCTGACCGGAAATCAGCTCCAACTCCCGTTTATGATGTTCTCGGGCAACTGAATGTGCTGCAGCAGGCCGCCTCATGTTTCAGTCGCTACGATATTTGAAATATCGCGATACATGTATATTTGTAATGTACTACTCATAAGGTTGCTGAAATTCCATCGACAGCCAACGACCGGTTTCGCCCTTCTTGGAGCTCATCAGGTAGGCGCAGTCCCCGGGTTTCCGTCAACCTTATGTTCTACTTGAAACCAAATTGCACGACATTAGCGAACATACACTCATCT